AGCAGGGTGGGTCAGGTGAGGGAGACAGCAGGGTGGGTCAGGTGAGAGAGACAGCAGGGTGGGTTAGGTGAGGGAGACAGCAGGGTGGGTCAGGTGAGAGAGACAGCAGGGTGGGTCAGGTGAGGGAGACAGCAGGGTGGGTCAGGTGAGGGAGACAGCAGGGTGGGTCAGGTGAGGGAGACAGCAGGGTGGGTCAGGTGAGGGAGGCAGCAGGGTGGGTCAGGTGAGAGACAGCAGGGTGGGTTAGGTGAGGGAGACAGCAGGGTGGGTCAGGTGAGAGAGACAGCAGGGTGGGTCAGGTGAGGGAGACAGCAGGGTGGGTCAGGTGAGAGAGACAGCAGGGTGGGTCAGGTGAGGGAGACAGCGGGGTGGGTCAGGTGAGGGAGACAGCAGGGGGTCAGGTGAGGGAGACAGCAGGGTGGGTCAGGTGAGAGAGACAGCAGGGTGGGTCAGGTGAGGGAGACAGCAGGGTGGGTCAGGTGAGGGAGACAGCAGGGTGGGTCAGGTGAGGGAGACAGCAGGGTGGGTCAGGTGAGGGAGACAGCAGGGTGGGTCAGGTGAGGGAGACAGCAGGGTGGGTCAGGTGAGAGAGACAGCAGGGTGGGTCAGGTGAGGGAGACAGCAGGGTGGGTCAGGTGAGGGAGACAGCAGGGTGGGTCAGGTGAGAGAGGCAGCAGGGTGGGTCAGGTGAGGGAGACAGCAGGGTGGGTCAGGTGAGGGAGACAGCAGGGTGGGTCAGGTGAGGGAGACAGCAGGGTGGGTCAGGTGAGAGAGACAGCAGGGTGGGTTAGGTGAGGGAGACAGCAGGGTGGGTCAGGTGAGAGAGACAGCAGGGTGGGTCAGGTGAGGGAGACAGCAGGGTGGGTCAGGTGAGGGAGACAGCAGGGTGGGTCAGGTGAGGGAGACAGCAGGGTGGGTCAGGTGAGAGAGGCAGCAGGGTGGGTCAGGTGAGGGAGGCAGCAGGGTGGGTCAGGTGAGAGACAGCAGGGTGGGTCAGGTGAGGGAGACAGCAGGGTGGGTCAGGTGAGAGAGACAGCAGGGTGGGTCAGGTGAGGGAGACAGCAGGGTGGGTCAGGTGAGAGAGACAGCAGGGTGGATCAGGTGAGAGAGGCAGCAGGGTGGGTCAGGTGAGGGAGACAGCAGGGTGGGTCAGGTGAGGGAGACAGCAGGGTGGGTCAGGTGAGAGAGGCAGCAGGGTGGGTCAGGTGAGGGAGGCAGCAGGGTGGGTCAGGTGAGAGAGGCAGCAGGGTGGGTCAGGTGAGGGAGGCAGCAGGGTGGGTCAGGTGAGAGAGGCAGCAGGGTGGGTCAGGTGAGAGGCAGCAGGGTGGGTCAGGTGAGAGAGGCAGCAGGGTGGGTCAGGTGAGGAAGACAGCAGGGTGGGTCAGGTGAGAGAGGCAGCAGGGTGGGTCAGGTGAGAGAGGCAGCAGGGTGGGTCAGGTGAGAGAGGCAGCAGGGTGGGTCAGGTGAGGGAGACAGCAGGGTGGGTCAGGTGAGAGAGGCAGCAGGGTGGGCCAGGTGAGGGAGACAGCAGGGTGGGTCAGGTGAGAGAGGCAGCAGGGTGGGCCAGGTGAGAGAGGCAGCAGGGTGGGCCAGGTGAGGGAGGCAGCAGGGTGGGTCAGGTGAGAGAGGCAGCAGGGTGGGCCAGGTGAGGGAGGCAGAAGGGTGGGCCAGGTGAGGGAGACAGCAGGGTGGGTCAGGTGAGAGAGACAGCAGGGTGAGCCAGGTGAGGGAGACAGCAGGGTGGGTCAGGTGAGAGAGACAGCAGGGTGGGTTAGGTGAGGGAGACAGCAGGGTGGGTCAGGTGAGAGAGACAGCAGGGTGGATCAGGTGAGAGAGGCAGCAGGGTGGGTCAGGTGAGGGAGACAGCAGGGTGGGTCAGGTGAGGGAGACAGCAGGGTGGGTCAGGTAAGAGAGGCAGCAGGGTGGGTCAGGTGAGGGAGGCAGCAGGGTGGGTCAGGTGAGAGAGACAGCAGGGTGGGTCAGGTGAGGGAGACAGCAGGGTGGGTCAGGTGAGAGAGACAGCAGGGTGGGTTAGGTGAGGGAGACAGCAGGGTGGGTCAGGTGAGAGAGGCAGCAGGGTGGGTCAGGTGAGGGAGGCAGCAGGGTGGGTCAGGTGAGAGAGGCAGCAGGGTGGGTCAGGTGAGAGAGGAAGCAGGGTGGGTCAGGTGAGGGAGGCAGCAGGGTGGGTCAGGTGAGGGAGACAGCAGGGTGGGTCAGGTGAGAGAGGCAGCAGGGTGGGTCAGGAGAGAGGCAGCAGGGTGGGTCAGGTGAGAGAGGCAGCAGGGTGGGTCAGGTGAGGGAGACAGCAGGGTGGGTCAGGTGAGAGAGGCAGCAGGGTGGGCCAGGTGAGGGAGACAGCAGGGTGGGTCAGGTGAGAGAGGCAGCAGGGTGGGCCAGGTGAGAGAGGCAGCAGGGTGGGCCAGGTGAGGGAGGCAGCAGGGTGGGTCAGGTGAGAGAGGCAGCAGGGTGGGCCAGGTGAGGGAGGCAGCAGGGTGGGCCAGGTGAGGGAGGCAGCAGGGTGGGTCAGGTGAGAGAGGCAGCAGGGTGGGCCAGGTGAGAGAGGCAGCAGGGTGGGCCAAGTGAGAGAGGCAGCAGGGTGGGCCAAGTGAGGGAGGCAGCAGAGTGGGCCAGGTGAGGGAGGCAGCAGGGTGAGCCAGGTGAGGGAGACAGCTGGCGGGCCAGGTGAGGGAGGCAGCTGGTGGGCCAGGTGAGGGAGACAGCAGGGTGAGCCAGGCAAGGGAGGCAGCTGGTGGGCCAGGTGAGGGAAGCAGCTGGTGGGCCAGGTGATGGAGGCAGCTTGTGGGCCAGGTGAGGGAGGCAGCTGGTGGGCCAGGTGAGGGAGACAGCAGGGTGAGCCAGGTGAGGGAGGCAGCTGGTGGGCCAGGTGAGGGAAGCAGCTGGTGGGCCAGGTGAGGGAGGCAGGTTGTGGGCCAGGTGAGGGAGGCAGCAGGGTGGGCCAGGTGAGAGAAGCAGCAGGGTGGGCCAGGTGAGGAAGGCAGCAGGGTGGGCCAGGGGAGGGAGGCATCAAGGTGGGCCAGGTGAGAGAGGCAGCAGGGCGGGCCAGGTGAGAGAAGCAGCAGGGTGGGCCAGGTGAGGAAGGCAGCAGGGTGGGCCAGGGAGGGAGGCATCAAGGTGGGCCAGGTGAGAGAGGCAGCAGGGCGGGCCAGGTGAGGGAGGCAGCAGGGTGGGTCAGGTGAGGGAGGCATCAGGGTGGGCCAGGTGAGAGAAGCAGCAGGGTGGGCCAGGTGAGGAAGGCAGCAGGGTGGGCCAGGGGAGGGAGGCATCAAGGTGGGCCAGGTGAGAGAGGCAGCAGGACGGGCCAGGTGAGGGAGGCAGCAGGGTGGGTCAGGTGAGGGAGGCATCAGGGTGGGCCAGGTGTGGGAGGCATCAGGGTGGGCCACGTGAGAGAGGCAGCAGGGTGGGCCAGGTGAGGGAGGCAGCAGGGTGGTCCAGGTGAGGGAGGCAGCAGGGTGGGCCAGGTGAGGAACGCAGCAGGGTGGGCTAGGTGAGAAAGGCAGCAGGGTGGGCCAGGTGAGGGAGGCAGCAGGGTGGGCCAGGTGAGGGAGGCAGCAGGGTGGGCCAGGTGAGGGAGGCAGCAGGGTGGGGCAGGTGAGGGAGGCAGCAGGGTGGGCCAGGTGAGGGAGGCAGCAGGGTGGGCCAGGTGAGGGAGGCAGCAGGGTGGGCCAGGTGAGGGAGGCAGCAGGGTGGGCCAGGTGAGGGAGGAAGCAGGGTGGGCCAGGTGAGGGAGGCAGCAGGGTGGGGCAGGTGAGGGAGGCAGCAGGGTGGGCCAGGTGAGGGAGGCAGCAGGGTGGGCCAGGTGAGGGAGGCAGCAGGGTGGGCCAGGTGAGGGAGGAAGCAGGGTGGGCCAGGTGAGGGAGGAATCAGGGTGGGCCAGGTGAGGGAGGCTGCAGGGTGGGCCAGGTGAGGTTGGCAGCAGGGTGGGCCAGGTGAGGAAGGCAGCATGGTGGGCCAGGTGAGGGAGGCAGCAGGGTGGGCCAGGTGAGGGAGGCATCAGGGTGAGCCAGGTGAGGGAGGCAGCAGGGTGGGCCAGGTGAGGGAGGCTGCAGGGTGGGCCAGGTGAGGGAGGCAGCAGGGTGGGCCAGGTGAGGTTGGCAGCAGGGTGGGCCAGGTGAGGGAGGCAGCAGGGTGGGCCAGGTGAGGGAGGCAACAGGGTGGGCCAGGTGAGGGAGGTAGCAGTTTGGGCCAGGTGAGGGAGGCAGCAGGGTGGGCCAGGTGAGGGAGGCAGCAGGGTGGGCCAGGTGAGGGAGGCAACAGGGTGGGCCAGGTGAGGGAGGCAACAGGGTGGGCCAGGTGAGGGAGGCAGCAGGGTGGGCCAGGTGAGGGAGGCAGCAGGGTGGGCCAGGTGAGGGAGGCAGTAGGGTGGGCCAGGTGAGGGAGGCAGCAGGGTGGGCCAGGTGAGGGAGGCAACAGGGTGGGCCATGTGAGGGAGGCAGCAGGGTGGGCCAGGTGAGGTTGGCAGCAGGGTGGGCCAGGTGAGGGAGGCAGCAAGGTGGGCCAGGTGAGGGAGGCAGCAGGGTGGGCCAAGTGAGGGAGGCAGCAGGGTGGGCCAAGTGAGGGAGGCATCAGTGTGGGCCAGGTGAGGGAGGCAGCAGGGTGGGCCAGGTGAGGGAGGCTGCAGGGTGGGCCAGGTGAGGGAGGCAGCAGGGTGGGCCAGGTGAGGTTGGCAGCAGGGTGGGCCAGGTGAGGGAGGCAGCAGGGTGGGCCAGGTGAGGGAGGCAACAGAGTGGGCCAGGTGAGGGAGGCAACAGGGTGGGCCAGGTGAGGTTGGCAGCAGGGTGGGCCAGGTGAGGGAGGCAGCAGGGTGGGCCAGGTGAGGTTGGCAGCAGGGTGGGCCAGGTGAGGGAGGCAGCAGGGTGGGCCAGGTGAGGTTGGCAGCAGGGTGGGCCAGGTGAGGGAGGCAGCAGGGTGGGCCAGGTGAGGGAGGCATCAGGGTGGGCCAGGGGGCAGTATATATGAAGCGAGGCAGGGATGACGGGAGTGTCAGTAGCTCGTCATCTGAGCCCTGAGGTACATCACACTAGGTAAGACCAACTCACACACAGCACTCTCTCAGCCTCTCTAACCTCAACCAACACCTGAGTCCCCACTCACACCAGAGTAAACACCTGGCTACATACACCTGTTCCTCCCAAACACTTGGCATCATCTCACAGAGTTCGTAACTACTGAGGAGAATGTAAACAGTGTAACGTGGAATTAGCGTAAGAGATATGCGTGAGACTTAGTGCTTCTCGCTCCTGATTAATGATCAAGTGTGTCTACCTGGTGGTGATACACGTGCTGTGGTGATCCACACTGTTTAGTGATGACCTGTGATGGTGGTGATTTATGTGATGTGCTGGTGACCCGTGTGTTGTGATGACCCACGCGTGTTGGTGATTTATGTGTAGTGGCGACCCACGGACTGTGGTGGTGACCCACAAGTGTGATGGTGGTGATCTATGTGGTGACCCACTTGGTGTAGTGGTGACCAATGTGGTGTAGTGACCTATGTGGTGTGGTGGTGACCCACGTGTAGTGGTGGCCCACGAGGTGTGGTGACCCACGTGGTGTAGTGGTGACCCACGAGGTGTGGTAGTGACCTACGTGCTATGGTGCTGACTTACGTGGTGTAATCATGACTCACGCGGGCTCGTTACCTTGGCTGGAACCGGGGCCTTGTGGGGCCCCGGTTCCAGGCCAGGAATCAGCCTTGTGAGGCTCCGGTTCCAGGCCAGAAACCAACCTTGGGGGCCCAGGTTCCAGGCCAGGTAGCAGCTCCTCATCTGAGCAGCCAGGCTGATCAGGAAGCGACATTAGGTACTTATCAGGTTCTCTACTGAAAATAGAAGATTTTGGTTTGCAAATTCGAGATCCAGAATTAAAAAAATGTTAAAAGTGTAAATTACGAGGCACTTTTCTCACCTACGTTCCAAGCAGCGCACATCAAGGAAATTAGAGGATGCCTGTTCATTAGAAAACAACGGGTATACCCTACTCCATAATTGTGGCAGAATGCATACTGAAAAACTACGTCCCACATAAGGGCCGCCACTCACATGGAATTAGTGCTGGTCGCTCCCTCTTACTACTATACTAGCGGAACATTACGACAGTGTCTTAATGCACTGGAAGACTATATGCAGACGCAGTGTACATAAACTTTGCAAAACTCTTTGACAAGGTGAAGTGATGCACAAAATGTGTACAAAGGGATTAACTGGAAAAGGAAGCTGATTGATTTTTTTCTGATGGATTTTTAAGTTTCTAACAAACAGAATACAAAAATCAGAGGCTGCCACAGTGATAAGTTCTGTTCCCCCAGGAACAACACGACCTGAATCTCTCTCATCCTTCATATCCAACATAAAAGTATAAATCACAGCAGTATATCGCCCTTGACAAACAATACCAGAACTTGACTCACGAAAACGTAAAACACGATTGCGAACAAATCGCGGAACGGGCGGAGTTTAAGCCCATGCGAGTCATAGGTGAGTTTTAGGACTCACTTGACATGGGTTCAAACCCCACCAGCTCCGTGATTTATTAATACGAGAACCTGTATGAGAGTAACATTCAGTGAGGACACGACAAACCTTGATGATATAAACCAAGTTTTTCAGTGAGTCAGAGAAAACATAATATTTGTGAACACAAATTTCAGTTAGTCCACTATGGAAAATTAATAAGAAAATTAAAACTTTAATAGAATATAACAAACTACTTAACAGAGAGAAAGAGTAATGCAAAAAACTTAGGAGTGAAAATGTCAGAGTTCGCTTTCAAGAATCACAAAAGTGTAATTATAAGAGCAGCAAGGAAAGTAACTAACTGGATAACTAGAACCTTTAAGAAAAACAACATTCCAAAGCAATGATCATGTTCATCAAGTCGCTTTCTCTTAGACTAGAATATTGTTGCAATACAACCTTTGATATACCTTTGATGACTTCCAAGAGTTTTTGTATTCTCAGAGTCTGGCCTTTGGCCAGGCTCGTTTGATGCGTGCCTGGTTAACCAGGCTGTTGCTGTTGGCCGCACATAAATCGACGTACGAACCACAGCCCGGCTGATCAGTTACTGACTTTAGGTGCCTGTCCAGTGCCTTCTTGAAGACAGTCAGCAGTCTATTGGTAATCCCCCTTATGTATGCTGGGAGGCAACTGAACAGTCTTGGGCCCTTAATACATACTGCGTTGTCGCTTATCGTGCTAGTGGGGGGGGGGATGTTGCATCGCTTGCCTAGTCTTTTGCTTTCGTAGGGAGTGATTTTCGTGTGCAAATTTGGTAGTATTCCCTTTAGGATTTTTCAAGTGCGTCTCTCCCGCCTGCGTTCCAGGGAATACAAGTCAAGGAACTTCAACCGTTCCCGGTAATTTAGGTGTTTTATCGTACTTATGTGTGTCGTGAAGGTTCTCTGTACATTTCCTAGGAAAGCAATTTCACTTGCCTTCAAAGCACTGTTAGCGTGCAGCAATATTCCAGCCTAGATAGAACAAGCAATCTGAAGAGTGTCATCATGGGCTTGGCATCCCTAGTTTTGAAGGTTCTCATTATCCATTATCATATGAATAATGAGAACCATTATCATATTGATTTACACAAATAACCCGCACCTAGAAGAGAGGAGCTTACGACGACGTTTCGGTCCGACTTGGACCATTTACAAAGTTATTTATCATATTGTTTTCTGCGCCCCATTTCAAGATTTGGTTGAAGTCCGTCTGGAGTCTTGCAGTGTCTTCAATGGAGGACACTGTCATGCAAATTCGGGTGTCATCTGCAAAGGAAGACACGGTGCTGTGGCTGACATCCCTGTCTATGTCAGATATGAGGATGAGGAACAGAATGGGAGCGATTACTGCACCTTGTGGAACAGAGCTTTTGACAGTAGCCACCTTAGACTTTACTCTGTTTACTACTACTCTTCGTGTTCCATTTGTTAGGAAATTACAGATTCGTCTACCAACTTTTGTTTTCCAAGGCATCCAGGACCTTGTCATAGTGGTCCAGTAGTTGGAACAGACAGGAGCGACCTGCTCTAAACCCATGTTGCCCTGGGTTGTGTAACTGATGGGTATCTAGATAGTTGGCATTCTTGCTTCTTAGAACCCTTTCAACGAATTTATATGGAATGTTAAGTGTTATCGGCCTGCATTATTATCATCTTGGGGAACGCTAAACCCATAGGATTATACAGCTATCGGTCTGTAGTTCTTAGCTATTGTGTCACTGCCCCCTTTGTGGAGTGGGGCTATGTTGTTTTCAGCAGTTGTATGAGGGATCGGAAATTCACTCGTCGTGCCAGCCAAGAACTTGCGATCCCTCATACGACTGGCGTGTTAAGGCGATGCTAAAGCATGAGGACATACCGGTTGGGTCAATCTTTTTGAAACACCCTGTATTTTTTATTTCCAGTATTACATGATTTCGCCTTGTCGCTGGTTAGCGGGTTTTGATCCAAGGAACAGGACATATACTCTCCTTGGATTGCATGTGAATGCATCCCATTCTACAGGCGCAATATGGCCCCCCTACTGGTTTAACCCTTTACCCCTGATTAAAAATAAATCAGCCATTAAATGGCTGATTCATCATACAAAATTTATGAAACGTTTCTTTTGGGTTTAGGTTGTGTAGGTGCAAATTCTGTTGGATTCTGTGCAGTAACTGGAGAATGACTCTTCTGATCGACTTTAAACTTTCAGTGCTGATGTGTTTCCCTCAAAGGAAGCTTCACCTTAATTTTATGCTGAGAAAATTTTAATGTGCCAATTTTCTTAATCAAATTGATTTCTGTGAAGTAACTGAAGAATGTCTCTTCTGAGAGGAAATACGTGAGAGTGACAGTGAACATTAAAATGGTATAAAATACCGACAGGTTGTTAGGTATCTTTATTTCGAAACGTTTCGCCTACACAGTAGGCTTCTTCAGTCGAGTACGAATGGTATATAATACCGACAAGATGAGATTAAGACACATGTGCAACATCTGGGTATCTTTATTGTAGACGTTTCGCCATCCAGTGGCTTTATCAATACAAATTCAAGGACATAACTTGAAGACAGTAGAACTATGTACAGAAGATGAGGTTCTACTGTCTTCAAGTTATGTCCTGGAATTTGTATTGATCAAGCCACTGGATGGCGAAACGTCTACAATAAAGATACCCAGATGTTGCACATGTGTCTTAATCTCATCTTCTTCAGTCGAGTACAGAAAAGTTGATAGAAGCTTCTATCAACTTTTCTGTACTCGACTGAAGAAGCCTACTGTGTAGGCGAAACGTTTCGAAATGAAGATACCTAACTGTTGCATATGTGTCTTACCTAACGAGAGTGACATTACTGAGCTATCTGAGGTTCAGTTTAAATGATTTTATGTATGTTTGCGCCTTCAAGATCATTGTAAAAATTTGTATCTCATGTACTTAAACCTTAAGTAAACTATCTTAATTACTTACCTGCATCCTTAAACCACATAAACTGGTCAGTCTTATTTAGAGAAAAGTTTGAATTAATTTTAGCCTGTGATAGATTAATTTTAGATTTTGCCACCGAAGTGGCCAGTTTATTGTATGTAAAGTTCAGAGAACCGACAAGTTGATAAAGTAGACACATGTGCAACACTTGGGTATCTAAAAGTGAGGAAACGTTTCGCTGAGGAACTGATTACCTCAGATTCCTCTTGTTCTTCAACATTCTCCTTTACAAGGACTGATGAAGCCACTGTGTGGCGAAACGTTTCCTCATTAAAGATACCCAAGTGTTGCACATGTGTCTAGTTTATTGTGCACCTCATATCCATCCTGTGGACGGTAGCCCAAAAGGATATGGACACACAAAAGGCCCAGGAACTAGATCCCAAAAGGGGTCCACAAGGTCCCGTGTTATCTTGTTTTTACGGAATAAACTGTGAAAATTAAAATTGTATTTTTCATGTGATAATTTCTCAGTGCGTCATCGTACTGACGTCATCGTACTGGCGTCATCGTACTGGCGTCATCGTACTGGTGTCATCGTACTGGCGTCATCGTGC